GAAAAATATGGTGGTCATACTTCGAACTAGCCTATTCAGTTAGACACATTGTAAACACATTGTCTTTATCTTTGACTATGTGACTGTTTCAATATCATTGATTATTATGTGACCTGCCAAAGTTGGGCTTTACTTGTGTGCACTGGGAGATTTGCAGTAACTTAACTGGGGAACCTGTGGATGGATCGAACCAGGAGAAATGCTTTTCCCAGTGTGGGTGGGGAGCACGGAATCATCCGCTTGGTTTGGTTTAATCACGGGTCGACTATGATGTCAGAGAGGCATAAGAGTTTGATAATCTCTATGAAAGCTTTTATTTACAGCTTGTAAAAGCAGCTAATCATTGCATCATGATTCTATAAGGACAGCACAGTGGACCTTTTCGTCCCGCCAACAACACCGTCCCACACGATTGTTAGAAGTCATTAGTCTGGTTTGGTTCCCCGCTCGCTGCATTGCTCCATTACAGCCCTCACACTGAAACCCATTAGGTCCTGGTGTATGGGCCACCTCACCTTGGACAGGGCTTACGTACTTGGCAGCCCTGACGAATGTTACCTCTGTTCTGCAGTGTAGGAACGTGGGGGGGAAAATTAATCTGTGCAGCACAAGAAACACAAAGGAAATATCAGCGTGCACACCATTTCCCCAGTGGCAGTGAATGTGTTCTAATGTGCACACACACACACACACACAGAGCTTTGCACAGGTAATCCACCATAGTGTTTTGGCTGGAGGTGAATTGCAGCAGTGAAAGAGCACAATGTTGCTGCCTGTGTACTTTTAGGGAAACAACACCCACATGGTAAACTGTACATTATGAGCGCGTGCTCAGAAGTGCACGAGGTATCACTCGTCGCTTTGCAGACTCTTCAGGCATTGAGTGTGAATAAATAAATCCATATTTGGAGGATACGGAGCTGGGAAGCTCATATGCTGCCATGGATGGAGGGTCCATCATTTATATTTACAATGCTAATTTAGGGCCGCCGTGATTGGCAGACATTTATTGAAATACACACACAAGCAGAGCAAAGAGGCAACGTGTTGTTTTGCAGTACGGAGAACCAACGGCTAACATAATATTTTAAAGAGGTGGTAACTGCTGTATGCGAGTGAAACGCCAGCGCTCCACCTTTAACAACTCTATAGGACCAGTGCTGAGTCTGCTGACCTCCTGGAGCAGACTATATTCAATCCCTTCAATGGAAAAGCTGAGATAAAAATATAAACCCGTTGCCCCCCCTGGTCTCTCTGATCCCCTTTACTGTGTTTCACTTGAACGTTTTTACATTGCTTGATGTTTCCAATACAATACAGGATTGATGCGATGCTGCTGGCAAAGACCAGAAGAAGGGTACAATGGGAGGATGAAGAAAAATGGAGGAGAAGGAAGCAAAGTAGGTGACTGCTGACAGGGCTGTTCATGTGGGAACCACATTTGATTCATGGTTACACCCAAAATAGACTAGAACAATTTGATGACACATTTAAAAAGCACACATCTTTAACTGGGACCTTTGGAGATGTAGAAATAGGTATAAAATCAAATGTATTTCATTGTCACTGTCATGTCCAAGAAGCTGTGTTAATCAGGTTAGCTCACAAAGTCGCTAGGCTGCGTCCTTGCACCCTGCAGCCTTCTGGTCTACCTGGGCTGGTCCTCCAACAACCGCACAGGCCGAACCGAGCGCTTTCTGAAATGGGACGGTCTGTCCTACAGGGGGACTTCCTGCTTGCGTCATCAGCATTACCTCCTGCTGAGCTTAACAAAAAAAGCCTTAAAAGTCGAAAAAACAAATAAAGTAGAGCTAAATGTGCTTGAGCTTGTTCAGAAGCTGCTGCTTGAGTTCTAACAAAGACCAAAAAATGTGAGCACATTACACCAATTCTTAAATCCTTACATTGGCTCCCAGTATGTCAGAGAATTCATTTCAAAATCCTACTGCTCACATATAAATCACTACATGGTTTAGTGCCAAAGTATATCACTGATATGCTTCCACTACATCTTCTGACACCATCTGTTAGTGATTCCCAGAGTAAATACAAATCATGGCAAAGCATCATTTAGTTACTACGCAACAAACAGCTGGAATTAACTTCCTGAAGATTTAAGACTTAAACTCTGACCACGTTTAAAAGAAGACTGACAACTTTTATGTTCAGCTTCGCCTTCTGCTAAATTTTACCTACATTGCACTTTTAACCTCTGCCTTTAATTAAACAATTTAATTTATAATTGTCTTTGCTGTTTTTAATTGTCTTTTAATTCCTGTATTTTATTTCACTTTATTGTATGAAATGTTACAATGTGAAGCACTTTGAGTCTGCCTTGTGTATGAAAAGCGCTATAAAATAAAATTGCCTTGCCTAAAGAAGTTTTCATAAACTGAGATGTTATATTTTGTATTACAACATTTCCATCGGTAGCTATTTGAGTGAATTCTATTTAAACGTGAACTCTTCCTCACTGTTGATCACCCGCCTCCGTCCTGAATGAATGAAATTCTCGTCGGCCCGCACTGCATGTTGGGATATGCTGGGCCGCAAAGGATAGATCAGACGTGTCCTCCAAATCGGCTCCCGGAGGACAGCGTCCCTCGACCGCGTTCGGAGGAGCCGACGCATTGGGACAGTCGAGTTGCAGCGCAAGTGACAAATGCGGTGGACGAATGCGTCCTTAAGGATGCAGCCTAGACACCGATGTAGTCTCGTGTCTATGTCCTCCTCCTCCTTCCCCATGTGTGCCGGTCCGATTGTCGGCCCTGCCCCTGATGCTTCACTGTTCTAACGTAACTGTTGGCCTCCCTTGTCTGTGCAGTCGTCTTGGTCCACATGAACAAGCCTCGACAGCCGACTCTCCTGACTCCACATCACTGACAACACATCCTGTAGATACTCGCTCTACACATCAGGAGACACGTCATCTTCTCACTCAGAAGGTACTGATTCAGGCTCTGTCTCTCCCTCCTGGACTACTGTAACTGTCTCCTGCAGGTCTCCTGCTACCACCATTCCACCTCTGCAGCTCATCCAGAATGCAACAGCTCCACTGGTCTTTAACCTTCCTAAGTTCTCCCTCACTCCTCCACTCCTCCGCTCTCTTCACTGGTACCGGTGGCTCATCCAGTTCTAAACATGGTGCTCACGTACCATGCTGTGAATGGATGGGGTCCAGCTTACATCCAGGACCTGGTCCAACCCGACATCCCGACCCGCACTGTCCGCTCTGCATGTGATAAACTGCTTGTTCCTCCTCACTGAGAGCAAAACACTCGACTAGATCTCCACTCTTTGCTGTCCTGCTCCTAAATGGTGGAAGGAGGTCTCTGAAGACATCAGGACCACAGAGAGCCTCCAGACATCTTCAGACCAGCTAAATGACATGTGATGTAATGTCCTGTCCCATGTTAAACAGAACCAGCGCGTACGTCCACTGTCAAGCCTGGCCACGTGTTTGTACCTTGTTCACGCTCGCTTTCTGTTGATTTCATTTTTCAGCCTGGTGTTTTATTTTCCAGATCTTAAACATCATGAACATGGTCTCAGGAATTGTGCATTTGGGTTCAGGGCCGCTGTCCGGTTGTTACAGTCCTAACTTTAAATAGATTGACGTCGGATGAATCTCGTGTATACGACAAAAGTAGTTTTCTCAACATCCTCATATGACAACATGATACAATTCTATGAAACATTTTAGTGCGTTTTCATAAATCCTGCAATCGGTGTCAATTTCTACTCGTTACCTTCCGTCTAAACGGGGCACTGATTCCGGTTCAGGCAACAACAAACACAAGTTCCACACTGAGAAGAACACTGGTCTACCGGCTGAAACCAGTCCTCCTGCGTTGACCTTTTCAAAGGTATTGTTACGTGCCAGGGTGTGGATTTTTCTCTTGGTTGGTATCTCTCGAGGTGCTACCCGGTGATTGGGTTCCACCGGCTTAAGGATAAAAGGAGGAAGGCCGAGTCGACCGGGGGGATGCAGAGCTTTCTGAATGGATTGTTGTTGTGAAGCTTTGTGGTGGGAGGTTGAGGACCAGGTGAGTCTGGGGGTCCCTATAGAGGTTATTGGTTGATGCCTACAGTGTTTCTTGTTTTACCAAAGTTTAGACAGCGTGCATTTGGTTTATTGTTTCTGGAGGTGGGTAGTCAGGCCTAGTTTAGTAATATTCATTTCTTTTCTTTGGCTCAACCACAGGTCTCAGCCTCCCCCGCTCAAGGTACGATCGTATTAAGATTGGAGGGTCTGAAACTAATAAATTGTATAAAATTGCCCTATGTTTGTGTAACTCTCTCCGACTGACTGTCCTGGTTTCGTCCCCACCCAGACAAACCCAAAAGGGGACGTAACAGGTATGCAAAGAGCGGAAACTTCCACACACCTTGCACTGATTACGTTATGTACTTTGCAGCACATGGATCCTCCATTTTCTTCCATTATTTGTAAGACCTGTGGGCACTTGAACAATGTGTGTTTCATTTTGCACAGACAAGACGTTTGGGAAGCTTCTTTACTTCTGATTCAGAGATCCACAGGACTTTTACATTGTGTACATTGTACACAAAAATGAGTCGACAGCTTGCAACGTGAGATAAATATGACCCTAGAGGGTTCAGAGGGTTCAGGTGTTGCACTCATGAAAGTAAGAATTGGAATAAATCAAACCTATGAATAAAAGGTATTGGAGACTGTGGAATGTAATGAAAAATGTGTGATGCCACAACTTTAATGCTGTTTGAACATAAGTGACTTCCTGATGATAATTCTGGCGAACAGATTTGTGTCACTGTGATGCTTCTGTCACACAACTCACCTGAACACGCCCCCCCTCACCGCGAAAACCACTCCCACAAACATATCAGTAACTGCTGTTGGGTGAAACTGTGCTAACATCTCTTTTTTCCAAGCTTAGTTGACTGTGTGCAGTTTTCTATTCATTTGTATCTGCCTGTTGGTCATGTTGACATTGGCGTGTGCGTCCGTGTGTACTCACATGTAGCGCAGGTGGGGGTTCTTGGAGAAAACACGGGCCTGGATTGTATGCAGGTTGCTCCTTACAATGGTTCTGCAGACAGACACAAAGAGGAGAAACGCGTCAGCTCGATCACTCCCAAGTAGTATTGTCAGTAACAAAGGAGGAGAATCTGAGATGAATAATCACCCAAAAAAGAGGAGATGCAAACATTTGAAATATGAGCAGATCTCAGAGAGCACAGGTAAAACTTCTTCGTCAGCAGCGGTTAAAAATAAGTAACCCCGACGGTTTTACACATCGCTTGAAATAGAGCCGAGGTAAGCAAATTATTAATTAACTGTAAAAAAAACAAGCAATATTGAAAAGCGTTAGTCCCGCCCCATTGGCTCAACAACTCGGATCATTCGGTTGCAGAAAATATCTCTCCTCAGTAAACATGAGTGTAGTTTAGTCTCCATCTCCTCTTCAATACAGCAGGATGTTCGTTTAATGAATGATGGCCAACGTGTGTGTGTGTGTGTGTGTGTGTGTGTGTGTGTGTGTGTGTGTGTGTGTGTGTGTGTACTAAGTGTCCCTGATGTTTTTTTTGATTGCTGAACAACCAAAACTAGTTCCCTGGGCTCCATTCTAAGCATGTTGAGTCTGACCGCGTGCCAACTGTTGCCAATTAGCGCTCTCAGTGTCGCCCATCAGAGCTTCTTTGGATACGAAATTGAAAACTGAGCAGCTCAGTTTTAATCATTTAGTGGTAAATAAGAGTGGAGGCAATGACTGACACCCAGCTGGAGCATTGGAGGCCGCACATGCTCCTTCTCATCTACTTTCTACGTGTCCTCCTCGTGTCTCCTCCCACAGTGCTCACAGGCTCTGGCAGTCGGGTCAATAGATCAATTGGTGACTCTCAAAGGTGTGTGAGAGTAAAGTCTGGGACTGAGTGGACTGTCCAGGTAAATTATAACTATCTTTTTATATAATCCTTTAGAAGTACACATTGCTCTACTCATAAGTGTAAATTAGAGATATTACAGAGGGAATTATGATCTGTTTAACAATCGCTTTAAGCAGCACATAATAAATCATGAAAAATAATGATTATTGATTAGTTTCACCGGATCCTCATTATCCAGCGAGTTGGACACGTTTGCCTTTGGGAAGTTGGGAACAGGACTTTGTTTTCATTAAATACAGTGGCAATAAAGGGAAAGAAGTCATTGGTTTTACACTAACAAGCTAAATGCTACTGCTGAGGTGACAATGCTAACATGCTAATATAGGGCAGTGAGCTATTTTAGCATCTTTGCCGTCTTGCTTCAGCATTTTGAAATGCTTAGAACATTAACAACATAACAGTTGAATCCAACAAGTTCAGAAGGGGGGGCAGACAATGTTAACAATCTCCCAACATCTACACTCACGTTTAACGTTTAACGCCTCTCAGCTTCTACGATTAATAGTGACCTGGAAACGGTTTCCAACACACAGTTTAACTGGAGACAGCAGCTCTCTGTTACCTGCTGAGTGGTGGTTCTACTCTTTAATATCTGTGATACAAATCAAAGGGGAAAAGAACAACTCAATTCAACCGTTTCTCTGCATTCACTTGGTGTAAACAGGTCCGTCAGGGTTCCACGTCACACGTCAGCACTGCAAAGAGTTGCCTGTAACCAGGTAACTGCTCCTGGCAACCGGACCACTGTTTTCTGCAACCATGTGCAGCATTGACGCATGGTGGGATTAGCAAACTAGCTACCTAACTAGTTAGGTAGACACGAGCCGCCTGCACAACAGACCTGCCTCGTAAAACACGGCGCCAGTGACGGTCTACAACCCCGAGGAGGCAAACGGACAGTTTACTGAGCTGTAGTTTTTAAACCGCCGTTACCCAAGTGTGGGCAGATCCTCACTTTGTGTGTAGTTGTTGTTTGTGTGTTGTTAATAAAGCTCTTTCTTTGGATAAACATGTTCATTTTCTCTATAAATTCATTGATGTCCTGGTTGGTATCCTAATGATAGTGTAGTAGCCTACATAGGATAACCATGAAATGAATATACAGCATAATATAAATATATAAATATATATAAATAAAATGAGGCGGGTGACCAATAGCGACAGATCTGCCAACCAATCACGAGTGATTGAAAGCTGTGGTTTCATCCAATCATGAACGAGGAAACTCAAGCCTGGTCCGCCCACGTGTGGTTTTGCTGCCAATCACGAGTGATTTTATTTGTTAGTAAGTTGTGGTTTCATCCAATAAGGAGTAAGGATGTTCAAGCCCGCTCGGCCACCCGCGGTTTCGCTGCATTCATGTGCTAATTCGGGCCATTCGCACCTCCGCCAGCTCTCCACCTACGTCATGGTTCGTTTCCGACAATTTGTGGCACAGACAAACGCGACGTGCGCGGGTTGCAAATTGTCGGAAATTAGGGGGAGATTTCCGGGCGTTTACGGGACGAAAATCTCACTTTTCATGCAGTGACTAGTACAGTCTGACTAGTTAACTAGCTGGCTTAACTAGTACACTCTGGCTGCACAATTTAAGTAGCTAGCTTAACAATTCCACAATAGTTCATTCCAGTGTAGCAATTATATCCTGTGCAATTAAAGAGAAAATGGCATAATATTCCTATTTTGCCCGTTATAATATCACAGCTTTGCACAATACGTTACAGGGCTGCTGTCACTCGTATTTCTACATTTTCATGCTTCATTTTGAAGTCGGTGCTCTTGGCATTATTCCTGCTATTTCTCTATATGTACTAAGCATCAAATCTGTACCAGGGAATTCAGTGACTGGGATTTCCATTGGAACAGTTCACCACTGCATGAACCGACATTAGAAAAGGGCGGATTGCTACTTACAGCCTCTGTAAGCCGGTGTAGAGCTCCATGTCCACCTCCCTCAAGGTCTGCAGACCGGTCCAGTTCTCAATGTGTCTGAAACACGGCACAAGAACAACATTAATAGAGGGTAGAGTATGTATTCATCTTCCAATACTTCAATTCAACACATTACACAGGAAAACTCACAAAGTTTGAAAAACCGGTAAAAAAAATAAAGATAGGCTAAAGTTACAGAAGGGTAAAACTAAACCACCACAGGGGAAGAAGGAAGACAAAGGAATTGAGGAAAACCCAACAGGTCTTGAGTCACTGTTCGCAGAGAAGGGTCATGCAACGTCTGCCAGTGTTTGAGGGGCAGGACTCAGCAAAGGGGGTTAATTGCCCTCCGTTGGTTATGGAACAGGACTCGGGTGTCCTGCTCAGAGACGTGGGACATGGGGCAGCCGGGGTTCCAGCCGGGGTTCCTGGCGCGCCCTCTCTACTCCACGCGCCACCGTCGGCCATTAAAGCAGAATGTTTTACGTCACATGTGCTCATATCAAAGTACCAGATAAAACACTCCTGATACTATTAATACTAGACTGTCACACAACGGGGGGAACGTCCTCCTCTGAACACTCTGAACGCTTGTGTAGCCACAGCTATCCCTACACGGCTAACTTCATACATAAAAACACCCCCTCTCAGCGCAAGTGTTCATGAACCGTTTGAACAGAAAGCCAATGAGGTTATTTTGCAGTGTTTATGTGGGAATGTCTGAGCGTGGCCTTGTGGGAGCCCCCGCAGCACAGACAGGAGAGTGTGGCCCAAATCACATCCCACTGAACATCTGTTTACCCGAGAGACGTCCTCATGGCCCTGACTGTGTTACAAAGGTATTCATGGGAAGAGCAGTTAAAGGTGCTGTTTGTCCGTCTGTCTTCCTGGAATTGATTCATCACCAAAATACCTTTACAAATTTACTCTTAACGATAAATCTGATAAAAGGCTGTGATAACATGACACTACTTTGCCTCAGTTTATGGTCATAATCTGTAGTAGCAAGTCTTCATCAATACAGCATGTATCTATTTTTGGAGAATGTCTATTTGTCTATTTAGAATACAATGTCTTCATTAGCAGGTCGCTACCGCTTCAAAATATGTTGATTCATTCCAACATGGCGAGCTTTGTATTCTACGACAAAATCTCCAACCTCAAGGCTTCAAAACAGCAGTCCACAAACCACCGGGTGACCATGTCCACCTGCAAGTACCCGTCATGACCCGTACAATACTTCGCTGAACAGTATGCTTACAATAGCATTAGTCAAACCATTAGGAGAAACCCAAAGGGAGAACGACTGTCAGCCTCTTTGCAGAAAACTCCACCTTAATAAGCGTCTTGGACGCAGCAGGTCACAGTTGCCACCTGCTCAGCTGCTGACACACTGAGGACACAGCGGGACATTTAGCCGCTAAAGAGACATTTAGTCCCCAAAGAGAGAGGCCTTACCAGCCAGTCAGGTGGAAAAGCACATGACTTCATTTGAATACTTACTCTTCCTCTAGATCAGCGATTCCCAAAGTGTGGGCCGCGGAGGTACTGCAGGTCGGCCGCGAGAGGTCGTTTACAATAAATGAATAAAAAAAAATTTAGCGAGAGCGAGAGACGGCGCCCGTTTCTCTTCAGTAGCTGTTATTCTAAAAGGAGCCGAAGATCTTTTGAGCGCAAAGCTCAAAAATAAAAGATGGTGGACCAAACTCCGTAGAGTAGGGAGGCGACTGATAATAATCAACCAGTAGTTTGGGCATGTGGTATAGCAGGGGTTCTAAATTAGATTTGAAGTGGCACCAAAATCGCGGGGACCAACAAGAGACATTTCCACGACTATTAAGACTGAAACAAGACATCAATTCTAAAATGCACAGAATGAAAGGATGTCTCTTGTGCTGATATAGTGACACTATTAATTGTGCAGTATTGTGGGTAGGTTTGGATCTTTGCTGACAAATATGATGTGGTTGCATCGTTCCACTTTTTTAAGAAGTACCAGAACACAAATTGGTCTGTCACCAACGATCAGGTTGTTCCTGATTTTTGCCAATTTGGTCATTGTTTTGCAAGGAGATGTTTACTAGTTAATAAACGCTATCAGTATAAATACAACACATTATCCATTAGTTGAGTATACGTTTCTTTTTTTAAGAGTGGAGAGTCCTGTTCATTCAGAGCGTCTGAGCCTCGACCTCTGAGGGAATACTATCAACTGATTGTGGGTGTTCCCTTTAAATCAACCAACCAGATTCCACATACTTTCCTTCAGCCAATCGCAACGTTGCTGTCAAACTTTTCAAATGTTCTCATCTCTGCTGCTGCCTAAGGTCATTTCAGCCCAAATCAGACGCGACCTTCCTCGACCCGGTCACCTGCAGTGGTGACCTCATTCGTCAGCACCAGCAGTGTCCTGACCAGGGAGGGTTGGGCCCGATCTGGCCTCAGCATCCCTACTCTTCAGCAATCCTAATTCAGGATGGAGTCCGATCGCTTAAATAACTTTGCACCCTTCTTACTGTGTGCGTGTAAAATAAAATGCCTGATCTCAGTGTGTAAGGAGTCCACCCCCCTCACCCACACACAAACCATCAATGGAAGTAACTGCAGAACCACAGCCTCCTACGGACTTTGCATCCGAAGTGCGAGAGCTGGAGAGGAGGATCTCAGCAAACTGTTCATCCAAATGATGTTTATTTTTTATGCGATCTCATCAGTGCCTCCTCAAAGCCAACTGGGGGAAGAGTTCCACACATGTCCAACTGGGGGAAGAGTTCCACACATGTCCAACTGGGGGAAGAGTTCCACACATGTCCAACTGGGGGAAGAGTTCCACACATGTTCAACTGGGGGAAGAGTTCCACACATGTCCCAGTGGGGGAAGAGTTCCACACATGTCCAACTGGGGGAAGAGTTCCACACATGTCCAACTGGGGGAAGAGTTCCACACATGTCCAACTGGGGGAAGAGTTCCACACATGTCCAATGAGGGGAAAAGTTCCACACATGTCCAAGTGGGGGAGAAGTTCCACACATGTCCAACTGGAGAAGAAGTTCCACACATGTCCAACTGGGGGAGAGGTTCCACACATGTCCAAGTGGGGAAAGAGTTCCACACATGTCCAACTGGGGGAAGACCACTGAGAAAGACTCCCAAGCCAATGTAGGAATTATATAATCCATTTAGCATGTAAATTTTTTGGAGCAGCAACCACAACAATTTTGGCAAAGGGATGGATGCCAGTCACAAGGAAGACCCAATAGGTACCCCCCCCCCCCCCCCTTCTCTTTAAAACACACTCAAATTTAGGCAGAAGCATGCAGGTAGTCGTATAAGACAAATCTTACAATCTTGCCGAAAACAAAATGAAAGTGACTTTGGAGCAGATGAGCAGCAGATGAGTTTACTGGGAAGTTTGTTTACTGTTACTTTTGTTTGGTCCTCATCCAACACAAAAAGCTCAAAGTAACTGTTTTCCATCCGCTGTGGGCAGAGCAGTGGGCCGGAGGGATTTGGTATCACTAGCAGGGGATTAGCAAGTCAGCAGGTGGTCAATGGCAGTACAAAAGGTGCTACGTAATGGGCATTAAACTAAGGAGTTACTGAGACGTACGCTGAGAATCCGTCCCAGTTTTAACACATGAATAACTGTTACATCGTGATGCTGAATAATGAAGGTACCACTTCTACAGACTACTTCACATAACTATTGTCGCGATGCCACAAATAGGAGGTCACAACGCGGTTATTGCTTTGGGTTTGTATCAGAACCGAAGAACATTTCTTCATTGAAAGAAGAACGACACCGAAGGAAAAGGTCCCTCGTCCCGACTGACCTCCGGCAACACTGCACCCAACAAATCAACTGCCAGGTATCTTTTCAAATGCGTGTCCTTTTCCAGCAGTGGCGTGCACGTTGTGCGTGACACAAACCACGCGTGCTGATTCTCAGCCTGCTGAGACGGCACCACGCCGCCCTCCCACCTCCACGCAGACACACCTGCAAGGTGAGAAAAGAACCTCATGCGAGTAGAAGCTGTAAATGAACAAGGAGGCATCATCTGCACCTACTGATTCCTTAGTGTGGATGTTCTGCAGCTGTCCTTCAGAAATCCTTTCCTGCTTTTGTCTCTCTCTCTCTCTCTCTCCCCCTCCTGCTCTCTCACCACCGATGTATTTACGCCTTCTGAAAGCCAGCCTGTCATTAAATGAAGGAAAAGGCCCCCCAGGGGCCAACTAGCTGCTTCTAACATCTTCAGCTATCACATGCTATTTATTGAGAGAGAGAGAGAGGATTGAAGGAGAAACCAGGGGGGGTCAGATGGGTTGGGATTGCACCTGTGCCTCCCTAATGTGTGTGTGTGTGTGTGTGTGTGTGTGTGTGTGTGTGTGTGTGTGTGTGTGTGTGTGTGTGTGTGTGTGTAAGGTGTTAGTGTTGAATTGATTGCTGTGTTCGGTTCCAGATACATTAAACATTCATGAAGCTCAATTTACTAAAGAGACCAGCGAATGTTTATGTGTGGGAGGAAGAGCGGCGGCTGACGTGTGGGACCGCTTTGCATGTAACATTACGGAGGACATGCTGACAGCGTGTTTAAGTATTGAACAGCCTTTGACGTGCACGTGTGAGACACCAGTACGAAGAGTGGAAAGAAACAACAGCTTCTGCCATCATGCCGCCGTGATGAGCACCTTCTTGGAAGTGTACGCTGATGGGGTCACCATTTGGAGAGCTGTTTTGGGTTCCCTGGCCTCAAAGTTTAGGTGCCTGGAATAAGGTCAGCGGTTAACAGAAGACCGATTTGAAAGGTTTGTTCTATGATATTATGTTTGTCAGCAGTTGAGCTGTGCGTTTTGGAGATGCTCTGCACGTCTACCTGCTCATGCAAATGTGGTGTAGTTTCTTCACTCAGCGTTCACTGCGCTTATACTGCTAAGAACAGTTCAATCTCAGATGAATACCTTTCTTAACGAGTATTGCTGGGAAAACTGGTCAATGGTAACTTCAGTTATTGACAGATATGTCAATCTTTCAGCAACCTAAAAGTTGACTGTGGTG